GTTTCGTGCTCCCCTCGGCAAATATTCAATTGTTTCCTGACCACAGCTGCATTTCTGTGAGTTTGGAGGAAGTTCAAGTACTGCACAGTACTAACAAATATTTGCAATATTTGAAATACAACAGTAATTATGTCCTTGATCTGGAAGTTATTTTCCAAAGCAATTTACTGATGTCGAGGCTGAATACGAGTACAGTACTTTGGTTCCGTTAAATAATTTCCTAAATGGTAATGGTTGCACAAGAATTTGTCCGAGTCAAAGAGCAATTTAACAAAACCATGAGCGACTGAGAAGAGGATTAATTCAAGCTTTGTCACTGATGTTTCGTATATTTAATTGGAGGGTTCTGACTCAAAAAATGGAACGTAAATTTCGCAGGAAATCATATATTTATGTACAGTTTTCAAAAAACGTTTGATTAAATCTTCGAAACGATAAAAAAAACACTTTTCTGCCGAAATATCACATCTGAAGAAGCTGGTGGTAACAAAAGATAAAAGAGAATAAAACTTCAAAACAAAGCGTACCCATATCAGTAAAAGAAACGCAAGACAACTTTTGACTGCTCTACAATTCAACAACCTTGTTATCTCTGAATTCCCGAGGTTTTTTTTTGCGTACCATTTACAAGTTTCCAGTTTCCAACTCTGATGGCAGATTTCCCAAGAATAGGATCAAGATCCAAGAGGATCTCTTTTCTTGGAGACGGAGTGTCTTCGGATAAAGCTGCCCACATATCAATACCGTCCACTGGACCCAACAAACTCAACGGTCCACCTATAGAAAATACAAATTCAAACACGCAGATTACGACACGAATTCCTTTCAGAAAAATATTTNCCCAACAAACTCAACGGTCCACCTATAGAAAATACAAATTCAAACACGCAGATTACGACACGAATTCCTTTCAGAAAAATATTTTCCACGTAGAAATTTAAATGACTGTAAAGGTGACAAAATCTATGTCAACGAATTTCTCGTCTGCCTATCCTTCAAAGACGTCGTTTTATATAAAAAAAACTGAATCGAGACAGAACTTAAAACTCAAAAATAAAAATCTTTGGAATAGATAATGGAACCAATAATGCCAAAACTCTGCCCTTCCCAAAGAAAACTAAATAAATAAATAAACAGAAGTACAGTATAATATAATTGAACACAGACCAGCAGCAGAAAACAAAGTGGGCAACCAGTCAACCATGTGCATGAGTTGATTCGAAACTCGGCCACTCGATTTCAACCAGGGACTCCAAATGAACCCAACGCCTCGAACCCCTCCTTCCCAACCCGTTGCTTTCGTCTGCGCAGATCATCCAAAATGAATAAATTTAGCGAAATGTACGCGCCAAGAAAGAAACGATGAACAGGTAGAAAGGAAAAAGTGGAACCCATCACTCACCCCTCGTAATGGCCAATTGGAAGCTGCATTCCGATTTATTCCTCCGG